CGGGGTGGGCGGAGCCTCCGCGCCCTCCTGGGCGGGGCCGGGGGGAGCCCCAACATCTGGATCTGGGCTCGGCTGCTCCACATCTGGAGCTGGGGGCTCCCCCGGGGCCGTTCTGGGGCTCCCTGGCCGCTCCACATCTGGATTTGGGGGTGGGGTTCGCTGGGCGGCCACAGCTGGGTCTGGGGTCTCCGCTGCCACATCTGGAATTTCGGGCGGTTTTAAGGGAGTTTTGGGTGCTTTGGGGGACCCCACATCTGGATCGGGGGGCAGGAACAGCTGGGTGGCCACGTCAAAGTCCTCCCCCTCCACATCTGGATCCGGGGGCGCCGCCCGCACATCTGGAATTCTGGGGTGATTGGGGGTCATTTTGGGGCCTGGAACATCTGGATTTGGGGGTAGGAACAGCTGCGTGGCCGCATCTGGATCCAGGGAGGGTGGCTCCTCCACATCTGGAACTTGGGGGTCCTTCGGGGGCATTTTGGGGGTTCCTGGGCTCCCCACATCTGGATTGGGGGGTGGGAACAGCTGGGTGGCCACATCTGGATCCGACTCATCTTCCTCCTCCACATCTGGAAGCTTAGGTTGGGTTGGGGGAATTTTGAGTCGTCTGGGGCTCCCAACATCTGGAGGCGACAGGAACATCTGGGCGGCCACATCTGGGACTGGCTCCTCTTCCACATCTGGGTCTGGGATTTCGCCTTCCACATCTGGAATCCTGGGCTGGCTCGGGGTAATTTTGGGTTGTTTCCGACTCCCCACATCTGGAGAGGGCAGGAACAGCTGGGTGGCCACATCTGGATCTGACTCCTCTTCCTCTTCCACACCTGGAATTTCGGGTGGGTTTGGGGCGAGTTTGAGTCGTTTTGGGCTCTCCACATCTGGATTTGGGCACAGGAACAGCTGGGTGGCCACATCTGGATCTGACTCCTCCTCCTCCTCTTCCACATCTGGAATTTTGGGTTGGTTCTGGGTAACTTTAGGAAATTTTGGGCTCCCCACATCTGGGGAGGGCAGGAACAGCTGCGTGGCCACATCTGGATCTGGGGAGGCCAGTCCCTCCACATCTGGCGTTTCGGGGTCTTTTGGGGCCGTTCTGGGGCTTTCTGGGCTCCCAACATCTGGGGAGGGCAGGAACAGCTGGGTGGCCACATCTGGATCTGACTCTTCTTCCTCCTCCACATCTGGAATTTTGGGCGGGTTCGGGGTCATTTTGAGCAGTTTTGGGTTCCCAGCATCTGGGTTTGGGGGCAGGAACATCTGGGTGGCCACATCTGGATCTGGCTCTTCCGCCTTCCCATCCGGGTCTGGCGTTTCACCTCCCACATCTGGAATTTTGGGTGGGCTCTGGGTGGCTTGGAGTTGGCCTCCACCCCCAACATCTGGAGAGGGCGGGAACAGCTGGGTGCCCACATCTGGATCCGACTCGCCTTCCCCCCCCACATCTGGAACCTCACCCACCTTTTGGGTCCCTGGGAGCCTCCCAACATCTGGACCTGGGGGCTCTGGCCCCACATCTGGCGTTCCGGGCACGTTTGGGGTCGCTTCCCGCCTCTCTGAGGGCCGAACATCTGGATCAGGCTCCTCCTCCTCCTCCACATCTGTGTCGCTCTCCACCACCAGGGCTCCACATCTGGATTCAGGGCCGCCCACAGCTGGATTCGGGCTCTCTGCGGGCACATCTGGAGTTTCGGGTGCATTTTGGGTCATTTTCAGTCTTTTTGTGGGCCGAACATCTGGACCCGGCTCCTCCTCCTCCTCCACATCTGTGCCGCCGTCCCCCCCCGGTGCCTGGCACCCGGTTTTGGCCACCCCAACATCTGGATCTGGTGTCTCCAGCCCCACATCTGGGCTTTCGGGCACCTCTGGGGGCGTTCGGAGCTTCTGGGGGGGCTCAACATCTGGACTCGGCCCC